GCTACGTGATAACGGTTGGAAACGGGTATAGGTTCGTTTTTATGTTAAATTTAAAACTTTCTTTGTACATGTTTTCTTCGTAAGGCACAAACATCCGGAAAGTTTACAGCAACAACGGGCGCCTGGTTGGTAGTGCTATTGGCGTGCCTCTCTTCTAAAGCACAGCTTAGAAACAATAGCGTTCTTGACCAACTATACGATAGTACTGCCACTCTGCTGTTCCTTAGAATGTTTGACTTCACAGTAAAACAGTGAATTTGTCCTGTATCCGTCAGCATATCTCCTTTATATCTTACTCAGAATTATTGTGTTCTGCGTGAAATTTTCTGCCACACGTATTTACACTTTCCTCGAAATTATGCGTTTCCGGCATAATAAAGGTGACTTCGTTTACATACAAAATAGAATGTTACGATTACTTAGTGCTTTGAATTGTGTAATCGTTTAAAATGCGGAAATGAGCGAACACTGACGCAACAATCCTCAATGCAGCTGCCATATTTAAAGCAACTAGAACGCCTGTACTTTCAAACATGGCCGAAAGAACTGTCCACCTTTTCTCTCTTCTCCACTTTTTCCCCTCTGCTTCTTCTCCTCACTCCATTCCGTCCCCCACTCCCCCCCCCCGCGCATTCACTTGTTAGGGGAAAAGTTGGTACAGGGTGCTTATCATGAAACTAAACGGGGGAAGGGTGTCAACTTTTTTTTGTGCGTTTTTGCAGTGGAACAGACCGCACAAAACGCATGTTGGCATGCCCTTTCTCTCTCTCTCTCTCTTTGTTTGTGTGTGTGTGTGTTAGAAAACTGAAGATTTGGAAGGTTTTAGCTCTTCCTACCGCTTGTAAGCCCCGCAAATTTAGATTTAAATCCCACGTATGCTTTGGGACTTGCGTACGGTATGTGAAAGCTTTAGTGGGAGGTTTGTAACTCGGGAACCAAAAGAGCTAAGATGCTGAAGTTTTGGAAAGTCCCATGTCCAGCACGACTCCACAAATATGAATTCATCCCTCGTATTCCTAAGTGTCACTTGTAGGCACATCAAAGTTTTGGCAGGAAATTTGCTGACTTGGAAACTAGAGGAGACAGAAAGCTGAAATTTTGGAAGGGTGTTTTCTGACCATGTTTGACACTGTTAAATTCAGATTCACTTTGCACATAGGCCTAGATTTCGCACAAACACCGG